GTTGTCGCTTCTCCAGCAGCGATTTAAACATTTCCAATGGTGCCACTTTGCCATGAAGCAGCTTTTGTGCAGTAGCCTCCAGATTGGGGCTGTACAGAGTACTCTGTATTTGGCGTCGCAACAGCTTTAGCTCTTCCTCAGGCGATACGCCTTTGGGCATGACATGATCATCAAGTGCTTGTTCTTGTAACACCAGATTAAGCGCCTCATCGCTCAATATGGCTTTAATGGAAAGATGATTCAGTGTTCCCAGCGCGGCACTATTATCAAAACTGGCCTCTGAAATGGTGTCGTCATTAAATATTGAATTGTTGTCCCATTTACTGCTCTGGCTGGCCTGGCCTGAGCTTCCTCTAACGCCGGCATCGCCAAGATCAACATCATCTTCGTCGTCAAAGCTAAAGGCAGCTCTCGAGGAGCGGTTCCAATAGTTTTCGCTGTCAACAAATGTAATTTTAACTGTTAAACCCCATACTTTAAGCGCACTTACTCTGTGTTATCAAATTGAGATTCCATTGGTTTTTATTCTTACAAAAAACAGCTGATAGTGTGACCAGTTTTTGAAAGTATTTGTAATCAGGGAAGCTCAAAATATCGAAATTATAATTATCGGCTTACAATTTGAAAAAAAAATTACGTAAGCGCGCTTCGTCGCGATATTAAATGTACTATATATTAAGCTAAAACTATTATCAGAATCGATCCTCAAATACAGCGAGCTTTTAACTTAAAAAACATAGTTTAATTTGCAATCATGTATGTTTATGTTTATTTGCACTCAAAGTATTTTTATTTACCAGTTATTTGATCTCATTAAAGGAGAGCACGGAGAAACAATAATCTATGCTATATTTATTATCATTTCTAACAAACCCATACTAACAAAGAGTACACATATAAATGTATATATTTGCATCTGTAATCAATTACGCTCTCAAAGGTGATGTTGATAAGCGAGGGTAAAATTGCCAAATAATACTATTTTGTCTGTTCCAGAGTGAACATGTTATCTCTCTCGTTTGTTCTGCTCCTGGTGGTGCTCGGACCTCGCGCTCGGGCTGCGAGCTACTGCACCAAGGCTGATCAATGTGTATTAGGCACCGAATCTCAGGCCGCAGCTGCTCCTTCCGCCAAGGCACGCTACGATCATACCCGCATATATAATGTGGAGCTTGCCACAGCAACTCAAGTCGAGCTTTTCCAGGCGTTGGAGGAGGCTAGCGATTCGTGCAGCTTTATGGGGCACGCGCGCGTGCCTGGGCAGAAGCTAACTATTATGGTGACCGCTCCTAAAGTGGCCGACTTTGATGATCTTCTGCATAGCTACAACGTGAGCCATCGTATATTGAACTACAACTTTCAGGAGCTCATAGATGCCAACTACCTTGAAGTAGCAGCAGAGAGCACGCCTGCGGATCAGTTCGATTGGAGGCGCTACTTTCAACTGGACAATATCTATAACTGGCTAGAGAAGTTGGCCCATGAGCAACCTGAAGTGGTAAAGGTGCTGGACATGGGCTTGAGCACTCAAGGTCTGCCCATCAAGGGAGTAAAGATTGGCTTTGGTGGCGAGAATCTGACAAGTGTATTCATAGAAAGTGGAATACATGCACGCGAGTGGATTGCACCTGCTACAGCCACCTATTTTATTGATCAACTGCTGCACTCCAACGATACCTCAGTGCAGGCCATGGCTCGCTCTCATAACTGGCTGATCTTTCCATCGGTAAATCCGGATGGGTATCACTATAGCTTCACTGGGGATCGGATGTGGCGTAAGAACCGCCAGCTCTTTGGTATCTGTCGCGGCGTCGATCTGAATCGCAATTTTCCACTCAGCTGGAACACAACGGGTGCCAGTGGCAATCCTTGTAAATATGATTACTCTGGCCCAGCCGCTGCAAGCGAGCTGGAAACTCAACGCATTATACAATTTTTGGAAGGGCATGTCGAACCGGAACGCATTCGCACCTATCTGTCTCTACACAGCTACTCGCAGCTCATTATGTTCCCGTATGGTCACACGGCAGAGCGTGTGGAGAATTATGAAGACCTCAAGGCGATCGGCCAATTGGCAGCAGCGCGCATAAAGGCACTCACTGGACGTGTTTATAAGAGTGGTAGCATACATGAGACCATCTATCCTTCAAGCGGTGGCTCAAAGGATTGGGCTCATAGTAAGCTGAAGGTGCCGATTACCTTTACTTTTGAGCTGCGCGGTCCGCCAGATAGCGATGATATGTTCATCTTGCCGGCCAAAGAGATTGAGCCAACAGCTCGTGAGGCATTCGCTGCGGTGCAAACCATTGTGGAGGAGGCACGAAAACGTGGGTATTATCAGTAAATGAGACAAAACTTTTATTAATTTTGGTAAATAAAAGATAATACACATACGTATTACATACGAAGCGTATTGGAATTAGTATATGTTTTAGAACCTCAAAGTAGGAAATGAGCGAAGTGGTCGTCTTTACCATCACCCAACCGATTTGAGCCAGCGGAAATACATCATTTACTGAACATAGTAATCGGCCTCACACTGCGCCTAGAACTTGTTTTTAAAAGCATCGCCAATATATTCCTAGTTGTAGCACTGAAATTATTGCATCACTGCCGTTGGCCAGCACCGAATCCAACAGTTGTCGCTTCTTCAGCAGCGATTTGAACATTTCCAATGGTGCCACCTGGTCATGCAGCAGCTTTTGTGCGGTTGCCTCCAGATTGGGGCTGTACAGAGTACTCTGTATTTGGCGTCGCAACAGCTTTAGCTCTTCCTCAGGAGTTACGCCCTTGAGCATGACTTGATCGTCCGGTGCGCCTCATCGCTCAAAATGGCTTTAATAAAGTAATGATTTACTGTCCCCAATGTGGTACTATTATTAAAACTAGCTACTGAAAGGTATTGTCATTGAATATAGCATTGTTTTCCATTTACTGCTCTGGCTGGCCTCGCCAGAGCCTTCTCCGACGACTGCATCGCCAAGATCAAAGCTGAAGGTAGCTCTCGGGGAGCTGTTCCAATATTTTTTGATGCAACGAACGTAGATATTCCGTAGATTTTTATTATTAAAAAAAACGGCTTATAGTGTGACCAGAGTTTGAAATTATTTGTAAGCAGGGAAGCTCGAAATATCGAAATTATAATTATCGGCTTGGAATTTTTTCGAAAAATAATAGGTAAGCGCGCTATTATCTCGATCTAAATATATATATATATATCTAAATATATGTATTGAAATGATTATTTTTTATTTTATTCTTTTTATTAATCATTTTTATTTATTAACAATATACAAGTATTTAATGTACTAATTAAGGTACAATCATTTTCAGAATCGATACTTAAATACAGCGATGCTCTTAAGTTGAAATACATTTAAATTTACTAGGTTGTATTAATTGTAAATAATGTATGTTTACACTCCCGGTAAAGAGGTATTTACCAGTTATTTGACCTCATTAACGGACAGGGGACAAAGCACCAATTATTTTTGATATATTCATTGTCATTTCTTTGCTTTGCTAAAATAATCACATAAATAATATATATATATATCTGAATATTTAATTAAACCTGCTTTTAAAGGTGATGTTGGTAGACGAAGGTAAATTTGCCAAATAATAGAATTTTGTCTGTTCTAGAGTAAACATGTTATCTCTCTTGTTTGTTCTGCTCCTGGTGGTGCTCGGACCTCGCGCTCGGGCTGCGAGCTACTGCACCAAGGCTGCTCAATGTGTATTAGGCACCGAATCTCAGGCCGCAGCTGCTCCTTCCGCCAAGGCACGCTACGATCATACCCGCATATATAATGTGGAGCTTGCCACAGCAACTCAAGTCGAGCTCTTTCAGGCGTTGGAGGATATTAGCGATTCGTGGAGCTTTATGTGGCACGCGCTCGTGCCAGGCCAAAATGTGACGATTATGGTGACCGCTCCTAAAGTGGCCGACTTTGATGAGCTTCTGTATAGCTACAACGTGAGCCATCGTATATTGAACTACAACTTTCAGGAGCTCATAGATGCCAACTATCTATAACTGGCTAGAGAAGTTGGCCCATGAGCAACCTGAAGTGGTAAAGGTGCTGGACATGGGCTTGAGCACTCAAGGTCTGCCCATCAAGGGAGTAAAGATTGGCTTTGGTGGCGAGAATCTGACAAGTGTATTCATAGAGAGTGGAATACATGCACGCGAGTGGATTGCACCTGCTACAGCCACCTATTTTATTGATCAACTGCTGCACTCCAACGATACCTCAGTGCAGGCCATGGCTCGCTCTCATAACTGGCTGATCTTTCCATCGGTAAATCCGGATGGGTATCACTATAGCTTCACTGGGGATCGGATGTGGCGTAAGAACCGCCAGCTCTTTGGTATCTGTCGCGGCGTCGATCTGAATCGCAATTTTCCACTCAGCTGGAACACAACGGGTGCCAGTGGCAGTCCCTGCAAATATGATTACTCTGGCCCAGCCGCTGCCAGCGAGCTGGAAACTCAACGCATTATACAATTTTTGGAAGAGCATGTCGAGCCGGAACGCATTCGCACCTATCTATCACTACACAGCTACTCGCAGCTCATTATGTTCCCGTATGGTCACACGGCAGAGCGTGTGGAGAATTATGAAGACCTCAAGGCGATCGGCCAATTGGCAGCAGCGCGCATAAAGGCACTCACTGGACGTGTTTATAAGAGTGGTAGCATACATGAGACCATCTATCCTGTTAGGGGTGGCTCAGTGGATTGGGCTTACAGTCAGCTGAAGGTGCCGATTGCAGTTACTTTTGAGCTGCGCGGCCCGCCAGACAGCGATGACATATTCATTCTACCGGCTAAAGAGATTGAGCCAACCGCTCGTGAGGCATTCGCTGCGGTGCAAACCATTGTGGAGGAGGCGCGAAAACGTGGGTATTACCAGTAAATGAGACAAAATTTTTTATTAATTTTGATAAATAAAGACATGGTACATACGAAGAATATTTCAACTAGCAATGGGCAATAGAGCTCTTCCGGTAAGGAAGATATGTTAGCCCTCAAAGGAGGAAATGAGCGGTGTGGTCGTCTCTACCATCACCAAAACGCTATGAGCCAGCGGAAATACATCATTCACCTGCACATAGTAACCGCGCTCACACTGTTCCTTGGATGAGTGCAGCCTGAGCCGGGCAAAGCATATGGCTTACTGGAACTCTGTTTTGAAAACTGAACTTACGCTAATATATCCATAGGTTCAGTGATTAACTCGGATTTGTAGACCGATGCCAGGAAATTGGTGAACGCGGCTGTGTTGTTGCCCAGCTCCATTTCCGCATTGGGTGTGCACACCTCCAAGCCCAAGCCGCTGCTGCTGGAACCAATCTCCGGCAAGCCATTCCTCGTGCCCCACACCGTAACTATATTATCCTCTGAGGCAACTATGGTGCACTGATCACTGCAATTCGCTTTCTACGAATTAAAGAAACTATTAATTGTAGACTCCTAGCAACTAGCTTACCCTATCCAACCACAATGTAACGTGCTCGTATTGTATCCACCAGTGTGGGCTGCTCCACTGCATTGCAATGCCGTATGCCACGTTGTCCTTCCTTATTGCGACCCATGGTATAGACATAGCCGCCTTCAGTAAGGAATACTGAATGCGTGGATGAGAAGCAAGCCTTCAGCACCTTAAAGGGCAGTTGTATTTTTTTCTGTGTTCAGAAAATTAGATTTTTAATATCATTTGCATAATTTGTAGCAAGTCATTGCCTACAAAAGCTGTAATCCTGCCCGGACGGTTGAAGCCCAGCTTGTTGTAGTCGTTGCTGCCACAGACATGCAACTCGCCATTGGTAAAGAGCACGGCTGATGTGTCTGGGCCGCAGTAGATCCTTGAGGGTTTGCTCTTGACATGCGACAACAATATCTTCTGTGGATGCTTTCTGACGAGGATAATGCCAGGAATGGGGACCTGTGTCTCTTGTGGTTTAATTAAAAGTCACTTACTGCTGCTGCTGGTGGTTACCCAGGCCCAGAGCTCCAGACACGCTGGTGCCCCAAACATAAACGGCGCCCTCGCGACTTAGCGCCATCACATGATGCAAGCCTGCGACAATCTGCTCAATGCGCACATCCGCCAGCTTGGCTATAAGCTTAGGAGTGAAATAATCCTTCTGTTCGTCCTGGCCCAGAGCAAACTTGATGTTATTGCCACAGCTCAGCAGATTACCGGATTGGGTCAGGAATACTGTGAAACCATCGCCGGCACAAGCGCTGACCATATGATAATTGCGTACACTCTGCACCAGTCCGGGATAATGTTTCCAGGCCTCCAGCGAAGTCAGGCCGAGCTGACCGTGTGTGCCCTCGCCCCAGGCATATGACGAACCATCATCGTTGATGACCACAAAGTGGGATTCGCTCATGGCCACGCAGACAATGAAAGCCTTGGGTGGCAGTTGTATCGGACTCATGCTGAAGCTGTTGCCAAAGGATTTCAGCTGGTACAAGACAGACCTGTAAAAGTAGCCAGTATGATTATCAAATCAGCTCTGCCTGGTCCAATAACCTACCTCTTCTCTATAACCTCATGGGGCGCAACAGTCTCGGCGCTCATCAGCTTCCTCGTTTCTGTTTGGGCCGTGGGCAGCTCCATGGCCAAATTGCTGCAGCTGGCAAAAAGTGACGTTGGCGCCGCTAGCAAGCTACCATTGTTGCTCGCATTATCCTCATAGGTGTAGCTAAAGGGTAAGTGATGAGGTATTCATCAATCTCGACCGGCGTATTTGCAACTCACCCTTTGTTCTTGCCGAGACTGCGAAATATTAAGGGTATCCAATACACCAGCACCTCCGATGCAGTGGGTCGCCGTGCTGCATCCACCTGTAGCAGATTGGCCATGAGACTGCGCAGACCCGAGGTGTAGCCAGCTGGCACAGCTGTATAGGAGCCGGCCATGATTTTTGTAACCAGCTCCGACAGATTGGAGGCGGCAAAGGTCTTTTTCAAGCAGCACAGCTCACCCAAAATGCAGCCCAACGCCCATATGTCACTTTTATTGTCATATTCCTTGCCCTCGCACTGAAAAGGAATCCCATGGAATAGATTGCTCGTCAAGTCTGAAGCGAACGGAGGACAACACTCACCATCTCAGGACTAAAATAGTAGGGCGTGCCAAGCACAGTCTGTGCGTGAATCTTTGCGTTCATAATTTTTGATATGCCAAAGTCTCCAATCTTAACGATTCCACGTCCGTTGAGGAACACATTGGCCGTCTTCAGATCGCTGAAAATAGCCAAACACTACAGATATATGGCTGTATATTGAAAATACTGCTCTTTACCGATGCAAAATGTTCTCCGAGTGCATATAGTTAATAGCGCTGGATATCTGCTCAAAGACCGCGATTATATAGCGCTCTGGAAAATGTTGTTTGCCCTGTCGGTCGGCTATTATTTGAGCCAAAGTGCCACCATCCGCATACTCCATCTCGATGAGCAATGTATTATCTTTGATGAAGCTGCCCAGATAGCTGACTATGTTTGGATGATGCAGCTTGGAGAACACCTCCACCTCGTTCATGGCCAGATCGCGACCCGGCGGCGTTAACTCACTCAAATTGATTTGCTTAAACACAATATGATGGCCATCAAATTTGCGCCTGTACAGAATTGCGATGCCAAACGAGCCCTGACCCACAACGCGCACCTTTTCATAGTTGGCCAGTTCGGTTCCGGCTATGTTCAGCTCCTCCTTGGGCACCGCCAGTTGCTGCAACGGCCTATCCGGTGAATGCGGCACATGGTTTATGGCCATGGCCTTAGCAAGCGATGTGCTGGGCGCGCCTGTGTTGCCGTCGGTTATGGTGAAAACTGTGGGTATGGCGCGAGAGCTGAGCTTGCGGCAGGCGGGCTGCTTCTGCTGTGCCGCAACCAGCGGCAGCTGCAGCGATGTAGTTGTCAACGTGGTTGCATCTGTAATACGCCCATTAAAGATTGGCAAGGAGCTGGCTTTGTTCCGAAACTTTTTCATATCATCCGCGCAAATTGTCACGATTGTCAAAGCAGCACAAAAATCGAACTTCAACTATCTATTCTGCTCCTCATAAGATATGACATCGCTCATCGTTGTGGACAATTTGGTTGCTAGGCGCCACGGAGCCGCAGGCTAAAAGAGCTCTTGCCGCCGCGCTAATTGACAGCTTGATTGGTATCACATTAATCATGGACAATTTTGAAATGAAAATTGAGCAATTGAGTTTTTGTATTATGAATGTATAATTGATCAGATCCAAGCAAAACCAGTCCAAATAGACTTTATTAAGTTTGCTTTACTTTAAAAGTTTGTAATTGTAACATACGTTACAGGCGGCTTACATTCAGATTTTGTTATTTGCGTCGAACATTATAGCTATGTTTACGATTTTTATACAATATATTTAATATATATATAGACTTATTTATCTTAACGAGTACACGAGTTAGTTAATGTAGAAATTATGACGCGACTATTATTGATGTATTTGCACGAATATGCTAAAATTATTATGCTATTCTTGGACTATCTTAAAAAATGCACAATCTGTACGTTTTACATAGGCTTGACTTGAATGTTTTATGCATTTAAAATGTTTTCTTTGTATTTAATTATTATTCATTTTTGATAATTTTATCGTTATTGGTAATAACATGCACAAACTTGGCTACATGAATTGTTGCTGCTAGCTGTACAATGCTTTGCAAAACTTTGGACAACTTATTCAGGTTACACAGCGGCTCAATGGTCTACTATTGTTGACGGTAATTTAGCAGGTGCAACGATTATCACCGGATAGACTACCCAAACTGAAGGTTCCTAAGCCATTCGACCCGGGTGATTTCTTGTCCTGTTTCTCATCATTGTCAAAGTTATCGCCCTGCAAATGATTATGATTAGTTATGGAATTATAAGTTGTGCTTTAAACTTACTCGTCGCTCGCGCTGTTCGCGTATTTTACGAGCTAGCGATAAAAATGCGTCCTCAATGTTAATGTTCGATTTGCATGACACCTCAAAAAACGGCATATCAAAGTTTTCGGCAATCTGAAAGTAATAAGTTTAATTCAATAAAATTTCGCATTAGTCTTATGCTCCTTACGTATAAGATTATTTTTATTAACCTTGAACCAATGTATATCATATAATTTTACAAAAAATCATGCTACTCTATGTTCTTTACATATAAAGGAAAAAAATAAATTCAACTATGCGGTGCCCCAAATCTATAAATAAATATCGGTTTCATCCTATGTGTTCATATGCTGTAGCATAGTGTAATTAATAAGGGTTTATCTATGTATGTATAGCTGTATTGATTGAGTAGATTTTTAGGACCACTTTCATCTGCTTATATATACATATCCTAAGTATATTTGTCACCCACCTTTTCACCTCTCTCCTTGTCCACCATACGCTGTGTCGTTGAGCATTCGCATTTGTTGCCAGCCAGCACTTTGACAACGTCGGGTGAGGCATTCTCCTGTATGTTGCGCAACCAATAGGACAAATTGTTATAGCTTTCCAGATTGGTCACATCGTACATAAGTAAAATGCCCATGGCACCGCGGTAATAGGCTGTGGTTAGTGTGCGAAAACGTTCCTGTCCAGCCGTGTCCCAGATTTGCAGCTTTATGGGCACACCATCGAGATTAATGAGTTTCTGTTTAAAGTCAATGCCTGGGTGGGTGAAGGATGATGTTGTTATTCAAGCCAGACAAAAGAATATACATATATGTATATGTATGTCAGTTGTCGCAACACTTACCAATGGTGGAGATGTATGTGTCGTAGTATTTCTCATCACAATATCTATGTACAATGCACGTCTTGCCAACGTTGGAGTCACCCAGCACCAGCACTTTGTAGGTGGCCACAAAATCCAAAGCCATATTGCGTATTGCTCTGAGCGGGTTTAGTGTTACAGATGGGCCTGTGTTGTTGCTTTTGTTTTTTTTGGTGGTGTCAGTAGAGGTGGTGGTGGTGGTGTGAGGTTTTGGCCGTAGGGGTTGAACGTATATGGTGTTTATGTATCTGTTTGTTGTTGTTATTACTATAGGAGAAGACGCAGCTGTTTAGCTAGACCTGATGCTGCGTTAATTATTGTGGGTCGCGTTAGCGATTTGTAAATTTTCACAGTATCCTATGCATTTTAGCAGCTGAGCTGCGTAAGAGCAACAACAACAATACAGAGTCCGAGTGCAAATGAAATTGGAGACCCAAACAACAATTGGAAACGCTTCAAGCTTTGCTTATTTATATGATTTTTTTTCTCTTTATTTATTCTGATATATTTGCATAGTTTTCACTTAGGAAGGAATTAAATAACGTCGTCCGCGTTGCACACAGCATGAATCAACATCGACATACTGCTGCTTCTGCTTCTGCTGCTGCTGCTGCTGCTGTTACTGACTGCGCAGTCGAAAAAATCAATAGAATTGCGACGGCGCAGCGTCGACAATCAAATCTGGACGAGAACAAACTAATCGTAATCGAAATTCAAATGCGCAGTTGTTGGAAAACTGAGGCGCCACTTAAAAATACATACATAATAGAAATATAGTTATACAAAATATATATATATATAGTCGTTTCTGGCTTAATGATAATGATAGTATAGAGGGTTAATTTTAACAAAGTCTGGCCGTTCAGACTATTCGGTTTACATGATAAATACCTTGTCGATTTTGGGCTTTGTAAACTTAACATTGGTTACCGGGCATGTCATGGTGCCATCCTCTTTGGTTATCTTCGCCAAAGCTAGCCGTCCATAGATTTGTCCATTTGGCAACATCATTGGCTGATTGTGCTCATTCAGCGGCAGACCGGTGACGCGACAGATGAGGCGACTCTGCACGCAGTGTGAGTATGGCAACTTGAGCGCAATCCGATTGAGATCCTCCTGGCAGACGGGACAATTGAGATTGCGGCAGGTCTGAGAGTAGCATTGTGGCGTCTTCAACGCTGATAGACCAGCCTGAACGGCTGCCGAAAAGACTGATGTACTTGAAAGCTGGAACAAGCGATAGTTTTCGTGACGAAAGTCTAACACTAGCTGCTCCCAGCGCTTGGGATCCATGTACTTCTTGCAGTGCTCCATTTCGGTGTCGGCTGGATAGGCCAACAGGGCCATCACGTGACAAATCTCATTCAATTGGGTCTTCTCATAAGCTGGAAAGTAGCGTCGCGAATGCTTGACAGCTTCGAAGCGCTGATTCTGACGCACCAGCTCAATGAATTCCTGCACACGCAGGCTAAACTCAATGGTTGAATTGATTTTCCGCAGCTTGGACTTGTTGTCAATGCACCAGAGCACGCATTTAGTAGTGCTGTGATTGGCCAGATCGTCCTCCACTTCACGAGAAGTTTGAAATATGTCCAAATTGGTCAAATTACGCACATCAGAGCGTGCTGCCAGCTCCTCGGCCGTCTCGTAATAGCCCATGCGCAACAGATGCTCAATTACTAAGCGATCTAGACGAATACGCTTCCATTGATCGACCGAACCCTGACACACCTCGTCAGTGTTGCGAGGCATAATGCCCTTGAGATGTTCTAGCTTGCGTTTGCATATCTGTGTGACGCTTAGCTCGTCGTTGATACTCTCGTCGGCTTTGCGCTTGAGCACCTGAAGCTTTTGTGCTACATTGCCCATTAGCTTGGCCACATCTGATAATATAGGCGGCTGCTGGGCGTCCAAGGCCTTTTCCACTTGACGCGAAACATTCATCACTTGGTCAACTTCACGGTCGATAATCTTTTGAGCAGATCTGAAGCGTTTGTTAAGTATTTCGTATGGCACTTTTAGTGTGGCGTGCTCCAACGCCTTTATTTCGGACATCTTGCTGATTTAGCCCTGCTAAATCCGTTATTTATTTTCGTTTTTAATTAAGATACGCAATTTGTTGCTGCTTTGTTCTACAGCTGTCAAATTATCGATGCAGCTATTGATAGTCAATAAATGCTTATATCGATAATGAGTCAATAATTTGTGGCGGCAGGCGATAAATTGAATATTAGTACTTTGCCCAAATTTAGTACCACTTTCGTGCGAATATCGTTAAGGGTTGATTAAATCAAATCGATGTTTAGCCTTCCAATGCTATACATACAGATATGCACGTTATTTAGGAAACAGCTTAAGAAAGAGGTGGTCGATGATGTCGCATACGCACGTCGGGGATCTTCTGCGACACGATGCTGCTACTTAAGTTAGTAAGTAAGTCGATAAGTTTGTAAGATAGCTATCGGTATGTTTTTCGTTGCAACCCTACAGTCGGCAAAGCAGTGTATGCGACGGCCATGTTATCGGTAAAGCAGGTCGCTGTCTTTCTTTCTTTTTGACCACGTTCCGTGCGAGTCGTATGAAATGAACATGAACCTAAACATTTCGAAGAAACGTAAGGTAATTAAACGAAAATTTCATTGGAAAGCAAATAGAAAAGTGTACTGCATCTGCGCACATGTTTTGCGCATAAAGTTGTGTGAGCAATCCGGTGGGGTGCCGTAAAAAACAGTGCCAAACCAAAGATAACCTCAAATCGCGGGCGTCCGCGGCAGGCGTGGAGCACCCGTGTCATGCTCTCAGTTTAAACAACAACAGCAATGACATAGACAATGCGAGTCGTGAAGCAAGTGATTTCTTAAGATTTGGGTTATGCCTGGCTAACAGTTGTTATTCTCTGATTTTGCAGTTCGTCTCCGACGGTATCTTCAAGGCGGAGTTGAACGAGTTCCTTACTCGCGAGCTCGCCGAGGATGGTTACTCCGGTGTTGAGGTGCGTGTGACTCCATCCCGCACTGAAATCATAATCATGGCCACCAAGACCCAACAAGTGCTGGGCGAGAAGGGCCGTCGCATTCGTGAGCTCACCGCCATGGTGCAGAAGCGTTTCAACTTCGAGACAGGCCGCATTGAGCTGTACGCCGAGAAGGTCGCCACTCGCGGTCTCTGCGCCATCGCCCAGGCTGAATCGCTGCGTTACAAGCTGACCGGTGGATTGGCCGTGCGTCGCGCCTGCTATGGTGTGCTGCGCTTCATCATGGAGTCCGG